GAGGGGAGCGAGCATGAAAGCCCAAACTCTTAATCTGAAAGTGGCTTCTATTTGATGGCTTAATGCCCTTAAGCAGCAGAGTAGAAAACCCTCTGCATCCACCTTTTCAAAACTTTGGATGAGATCACCTCTCCCATTTATCTAGATTTCAGGGAAATCAGGCCAAGTTTGTTTTATGGGATAATAGCCACTGATGGTGAAATCAGCCACTAGAACATTCACTGCAGTCCTCCAACACTTTTTTTTTAAAAAATTATACACCCCTAGAGTAAATGAAACCAGAAGACAAACCTCCTGGCTTGGAGGTAGGAGCATTACTACTGTACTGGACTTTTAAAAAAATTAACTTATTTTTCTAATCAAAGATGTTATTGCACATCTTTCGAGTCAGTGGGACTTGAAACCAGATCTTCTGGTTCAGAGGCAGGGACACTACCACTGCACAAAAACCTCTGGGCTTTGTAGCTCTGACCTGCACCCATATGCCAGCTGTCCTTAAAAAGGCCCACCCACAAATGACAAATGAAGCTATTTATCTGAATAGGGGAAAGCAACGACAGGAACCCAGGTTGAATGGCAGCTCACCATTGGATGCAACCAAGAGGAAGGGGCACAGGAGGAAGAAACTTGCAGTCCTCACCAAGATAGCTTGGCTGGAAGTAGCCAAAATACTTGGGATCACTATGCCCATGCGGTAATGCAAGAGGCAGTTCAATGGCCTACTCCGGTTCAAAAATGTGATTAGATTCTCTGACAAGTATATGGCGCTTGAAGTGGGTCCTTCTAAATAGCCAATGACAGAATTAAAAATGCCTTTGACACATTCCAGCTTCATCTCTTCAATGACTGATGCATGAAGGCTAAATATGGCAATCACTAGGATAATAATTTTGCCCTACAACTGAATCATTTGCTCCTTTAAAATGAGAGGGGCAGCAAAACTTTCTGGTCTACTACAGAAGGGACCTATGCAATGTTGGAAGTCACCCTTAAAGGTCAAAGTGAAAGCTTTAGTAATGAGTTACCAAGATTATATATATAACCAGATGATTTTTTTTTGGAATAGGCTGCCATCTAGTGCAGTGATACGGGTTCAATGGAACTTTCCAATTAAACAGATTATGCATAAAGGGTCCAAGTCAGATTGTTTTAAAATTTCTTTCAAAAATTTTAGAATGCTTGAAAAAATAATTTTGCAATTAGTCAATACTTCTACTATCTTGCAATTCTCATCTCCCTCATTTATGAAAGCATACATCTTTCCTCCATGGTGTGCTATTGCCGTACTTCCCATTCACATACAGTGGTGGTTTTGATTAGGATTTATCATTATGCCAAGGACCAATATGGATAGATAAACAGACAGGTACAACAAAGGTGGTGTTGGGAAAATGGAATAGGCTGTTGTATCTCATAAGTCATGTATTTTGCTGTGGGTCAGAGACTTGAGTACATAATTGAAGATGACACTCCAGTACAATACTGAAAAGGAGCACTACTCTTTTTGAGGTACCATCTCCTAGGTGAAAACGTTCCAACTACCCCAACCTCTGAGGTGCATGTTAAAGATCCCATAGCATTGTGCAACCAGAACCAAGGATTTCTGAGATTAAATGGCAATTTATCTCATTGCTTTGTGCAAGTTACCAGTCATGCTTCTCGAAAACTTCATAAGGACGTCACCTGTATGCTGTTGCCTCGAGTGTGCTGTGATGTGCAAAAGTTGTGAAGGAAGTTGTATTACGTGAATCCAAATTCTTTTTAGGATTCAAATATAAATGGTCCATTTAAAAAGTCATTCAAGGTTTATTTCATACTTTTATTTTTACAGTTGAGAAGAGGTTGACAGTAGAGTTTTGCTGTGGTATGACAAGCAAAAACAATCTTAAAAACGTTGTCTTCTTCTGAACAGCAGAGTGAAACTGACCAAAATGCATGCAGTTCACAGTCCTCACCATACACACTAATAAAACCCTAACTTAACACACAAAAATGTTGCACAAACCTCTAAACGACTCAATAGCTCTTCTGGCAATGAATGCTTATGTGCCAGCTGGTGACACATTACATCTCAATAGCTGTGGTTTACACTGCAAAATCCTTTTCTTTCCAACATATCCCTCATGGTACAAGTGGCATCACATGCAGCACGTACACACCTAGTGGTTATACAACTCATTACGTCTACTGAATTCCATTACCCACTCTAACAAATAATTCTTAGTCACATTTGGGATAGGTTTTGCCTACTTACTCACCTTGATTGCATCAGCATTAGGTTCCCAGAAATCAATGTATTCCAGCTATCATTTTGCCCTGATTTACTGTCAAAGAAAATTCCACAACTGATTAAATTTAAAAATCAAAAGAACTGCAGATGCCGTAAATCAGGAACAAAAACAAACTTGCTGTAAAAGCTCAGCAGGTCTGGCAGCATCTGAAGGAAAAATCAGAGTTAACGTTTCAGGTCCGGTGACCCTTCCTCTGAGTCACTGGACCTGAAACGTTAACTCTGATTTATCCTTCACAGATGCTGCCAGACCTGCTGAGCTTTTTCAGCAAGTTTCATTAAATTTATTCTTTGAATTGTGTATGTACTATGCATTCATTAAATTTGGGCTTCATACATTAATACAGTTCTAAGAACTAGATCTGTAGTTGGATCATACAGTCAGAAGCTGTGATGTGCACCTAATTTCCCAGGTATGTTTATTGACAATACAGGTCCATACATCCATTTTTGTGCGTTCTGGGGAGTTAAATATTCACTTATTTTAATTGAAAGTTGGATTTTTTTTGCGCAAGCAATTAAGAATGTTGCTCTTTGCCGCTATATTTTCATAAAGAAAACATTTTGCTTTAAATGTTGAAACTCCCAATTGATCAGTTTCAATGCAACAGCAAGACTGCCACTTATATAGTACATCTTTTGCAACCTCGGGCATTCTAAAGCACTTTACAGTCAATTTGTACATATCAAACTTCCTACGCTACAATGGGTAGATAATCTGACTCAGTGAAGGGACCAATGTTGGAATGCCCACACTCCTTCAAAATAGCACCATGGCATC